GCCATAATGTTATCCTCCTGAACATGGCCATACACATGATTAGCTAAAACAGCCAACTAAGTTTGCTCCTGCTTTTCTAGTCATAGCAAAAATGTCAGCATATACCTCTTTGTTAAGCTTTTTTAGCCTCACCTTGACTTGCCTCATTTTACAATAAAGTTTGTCGTAAGTATACGTTGCCACATTAGTAAATTAAATGATCGTAAGATCAAGATGGATGTTCAGACCAAACTTGAAATACTTAAAAAGATTTTGGTAAGCTTCCACAGGGAGTGATCTGGATGGAAATCCCACAATGATCCAACACACATGGAAGGGAAGTCTAAGCTACACTGTGAGGAAAGACATCCACCCACTTCCCATTTAGCCCTGTCTAGTGTATTTGATATTAGATTTGCTCGTTGATTGTTCCACCAAGTAAACTAATAGCCAGTGACCTTGTGATAACTTAATCGTAATTATTCTGTCCATGCCCTAAAATCAATCATACTCTGAGAAATGCATACCAGATATGATGGTCCTCCACATCTGCCACTGCATCAAAGTTACCTACTACCTAGAATGGGGGTAATGAGATACATTATATATAATCATTTCCTTGTAGAGATGAACTCTATCACGTTCTTTGTTAGGGATGTATACAAAGGAAAGGACCACTGGCAACTTACCGTTCACTTGCACTTCCACTTGCACAAAATGCTCTCCCCCAACTAACTTGCTAATTTGTAATTGAGGCTTCCAGAAGAGCCAGACCCGACCTGCTCGTGATATATTGTAGTCATTATCGTGTTTCCAGGCTGAAAAGTATTGTTTAGTATATATTTTCTCTATTTTCTATAGCAACTCTTGTTTCTAAAATAGCTATAAGATCTATCTTCATGGCTTTCATATTTCTTACCACTGTAGAGTGCTTTTCAGGAGAGTTGAAACTCCTGACATTCCAACAAAACACTCTCACTTTATCCACTATCTCAATTTTTATAACTAGTCGGCGACAAGGAGTAGGGAGATCGCCGGAAAGTACGTCGGCGACACCGGTGTGGTTAACTACCACCATTCTTTGAGTGGTGGGTATCATCTCATAGAGGGCAATTCCAGGAGTATCTCGGTCTTGACAGAATCGAATTTCGACGTCAGACGAGGGAGATACGAGCTCCGAAGGTGTGAGACGCAAATCTGATAGTTCAGGTATTAACTCTGTATATTCAAATGGTGTAAGGATCACCGGGGTAATTATGTTACAGTCTACGAGAATATATTCAGATTGGTCTCCCAAGTTTCTAGTATGAGCAGCTTAGTCCCCAGTGTTTCAAACTTTCTATATTCGATCAAAAATAGTGTTTTCTCAAGATTTTTTTTTCGAATATATATTTTTGTGGTATAATTATTTTATAAATAGGAATAAATCAATAGGATGTTTGTATAGTAATTAGAGGATTTTTGGAGCTGTTGTTCTAATTATAAAAAGTAGTGGAAGATGAATTTAGTTAAATAAAATAGTATTCGAATGGTTTTGTCAGATTCGATAATTTTAGTCTAAGTTATATTCTCCTATGTTCATTCACAAATTATTTAGTGATATTTAGAGTTGATTCACTAGTTATAAAAATTGAGAAAGTGTCTGTTTTAATTTATTTAGTTACTGTACGAATATGATTATTAAATTTTTAAATTCTAGGTAAAACTAGAATATTGCATCTACATTATAAAATTAAGAACCATAATTTTAAACATTTTTAACATAGACTTAATTGTTATTTATGTTAAATTAAATAAGGAGAAGGGGTTAATTAAAGTGTAAATATTAGTTAATAATTTTGCTTTCTGTTTCGAGTTATTTAAAGTCATAATTTGTAATTTTTAGAGGGAAATGGTTTTTTTTAATTTATGAATTTTATTTAAAGGATTTCTTTTTGAATTGATGGTAATAATTAAGCCTTGAAAATTTTGGGGAAAATTCCAATGTTTGAGTAAAAATTTTTAAAAGAGTTTAAGGGCATTTTTAAAGAATTTTGGGAATAAGCTAAGAGGACAGAAAATTTTACGGGATACCGACTAAGTGAAATTAATCTCGGTTTATTAGATTAAGGAAGCGATCAAGTTAAGGGATTCCACGTACAAAGAAGTAAAGTATCGGCACTTGAAAGTTGAGTGTAAAGGGGGTAAAATCTCCGTCGAGCTCTTTTAGTTTATGCATTTAATTTTAGTAGTTTCGTTAATTTTGAGTTATGCGCAATTATGTGTGTGAGGCATCTCACTGCCTACTTAAAGTGGACGCACGCGTTGTGCTATGTATGTGATGTATGTTTGTATGTAAGATGAACCTCCGGGCGGTTGGGCCACTACTTGACGCGGTAGATGATTGGGTCACTACTGGATGACGATACGTAACACAGTAGTAGACCAGGCATGGACTGGACGTCAATACGTAACACAGTGCTATTGCCTTGAGTATAGGGAGATCGGACGACGATAAGTAACGCGGTGGATCCTAGTAATAATTTTATAAGTTAAGATAGAAGTACAGAACTTCTATAAGATATTAAGGATGAAAGCGAGAACGACTTTCATGTAAGAGGAAGTAATCGCTAATAATGTGTTAGTAAGGATTTGCTTAGGCAAAAACTTTAGTAAGTAACGACGAGACTGACCCCTTCTCACTCACCGGGTGTAGAAAGGGGAAGGGACATAAGCAGTACGAGAAGGTTAATCAAGGAGGTCAGCCGCGTCAAGATTGAAGATGTCAGAAGGCCTAGGGTAACGAGAAGGGACCCCTTTATCATATTTGTCTTTATTTCGTGTCTTAAAAGTATACTGGGAAACTCAAGGTTTATGTTTAAGTGTTTTGGATTGAGATTTGCCCAACTGTTTAGGACTTTTCGGTTGAGATTTCTGGTTATTGTCGTTGGTTGATTTTTGGTTTGACCTTAAAACGTGGTCGACCATTCTGTTCAAGTTATGGTGACTCGGAAGTTACCATAGGATACAGAAAAACGTATTGTCAGAATTGGTATATTTTGCTTATGGAGTTAATGTTGGATTTAGAAGGATTGATACCTTGTTAGTTTGGCATAAACTATACAAATAATGACTATTTGATCAAAACTTTACAAATTCCTTACAATATACAAAATTTCAAAATACTCTGACCGATTTGGTTCACTTCAACCCATGGGTTGAGAGTCAACTTAAACAGTGAACCACTTTGACTATTAGTCATAACGCCATGTTAGCATGGAAACTGGATAGTATAATTTTAAAATAAAATAATCAATTTTATTCATAAAATATTATGTTATTTATTTTCATAAATATATGAATTAGAGATGAAAAACGGGTGGGTCAGAGCGGGTATTTCAATACTCATTTGCATCAGCATCAAGCGCAAATCAGTTCTAGTAATACTCGCTCGAGTACCGGATAAATCGGGTGGATCCATTCTGACATATTATTTGAATAAAATAAAAACAAAAAATTAAGTATTATATAATAAATCAAAGGAACACACTTCATGAATGATAAAATATTGATAGTAGAACAATTAGTAAATTTTAAATAATTGAAAGATCAAGTCTTATACTTATTTAAAATTTCATTGGTTAGATTATAATTGAAATAGGAAAAAATATAAATACATGTTGAAGAAAATTTAAAAAACTAAAGTTAAAAATATACATTAGCAAATAGAAGGGAAAAACTTATAAACTAAATTTGAGAGGCGAGAAGCAGATTTTGGGAGTTAAAATGCATTTTTAGCTTCCAAAAGGCTATTATTAAATCAATTCTACGCAATAGTATTACATGCACATCAGTACTAACTTACGTATTTAAGGACCAAGGTTGTCAACCTGGTTTATACCGTTACGTCGGTTGGTAAGTGAAATGGTACGACGAGGGTATAATTGGTGTGCGTCAGTTCATTCCGGTTTAACAAAATATGTAAAAATGTGAAAATCATAAACATTCAATGTATTTAATCATGAGCACTTCTACTATGTTATAAAGCATTGGTGTTTTAATATACAACTTGAAGCTGTACCATAACATAAAATGTATAAGTTCAGGTTGTACCATAAAAGGATTTGTACCCTTATGTTATGGTATAACTTTACAACTTAAAGTTGTACCATCACATAAAAGTACAAGTTCAAGTTGTATCATAAAAGAATTTGTACAAATGAGTGTAGATACAATATGAAGTTGTACCATACGTTAAAAGGACAACTTCAAGTTGTACCATAAAGACAAAAACCTATAGTACTAATGCTATATAGCATTGTAAAATTCCTCTTTAATCATATCAAAAACATATTTATGGACAATTTACTTACAATCCAACAAATAACATCAACTTTTATTTTTAAATTAATTTTTTATTAATTAAATCCACTAAAACTATATTATTTTGCTTAACATTCGTAAGTCAATCATGCCGACCTTACCAGTAATGTCATTGCCGATTTCATAATCGGTATAGATTCAACCAGGTTCAACCGACAATCATGCGAAGGACTAATAGGCACAGGGTACCCTAGTCTCCTTGTCTTACAGGCAATCAAGCTCCATTCCTGCCTTGTATATAACTCGCTAGGAGGGGGGAAAAAAACAGAAAGGGACAAGCAAGATCAGTTTCATTCTTCTAACTTCTAAGCACTTGGCATGTCCTTCGGTAGGACTCGGTCAACTCTCCAAAACAACAGAGGCTCTGGCTTGAATAAAGGGGAAAAAACTGAATAATGGAAAATTGAGGAATCCCAGAAGAAGTAACGGTTATTGAATTTGGTGTATTGTAGATTACAACATTAAATATTTGTTGTTGTGCTTTCAATAGGTAAAATGAAAAATAACTTTTTAATAAAAATGTCATTTGTATTCCTCATTGTCAATGCAAAAAGTAACTTCTAAAGGTTAAAATTGGAAGAAAAATAAAGAAAACAATCTCAACTAGCACAATCCCAACAATATCAGTTGAAAGTTGAGATTGTATAATTATTCATTACGAATGATTGTTTCTATCATATCAAGTAAACAATACATATATTGTGTGTATAAAAAATCAGAAATCGATGAATTGTAAACCATACAACTATTGTAAGAATCTCAACCAAACAATCACATAAATCAAGGTACCAAACGACCCCTAACAAAGGAGAGAAAAAGCATGGAAAGGAGCACCAAATATGATTAAGAATGCAACTAAAGAATAAAAGGAGAGCCCCATAATTTTACACTAAACTAATCACCCAGCCATTGGTCACGCATTTCATGATCATTCCACAGCACAAAATCTATCAAAGCACAAATGAGTTTCCTTCCTTTCTTTTCTTGATATTTTCCAATTATTTTTCATTCTGGAAAGAAGCAAAAAGCTGAGAGAAACCTCATCTCGGGATACCAAAAAAATGAAGAAGAAGCGAACAAAAAATATTTGATCCAGATATCTAATTATTCAAGGAGAGCCATTGCTATCAGATCTATCAAAGTGAAGGAGACGGCCACTGCATTTGGGGCAATCCTCAACCTGTTTAGGGACCATGAAGTACATTAGGCATCTCTGGCATCCATCAACGACTAACACATTGTTGTTACCTTCTTTCTCCACCTTACTGCTATTGTTGTAATGGTCTCTTGATGATGAAGGAGACGACTCTGATGATGACTCGTCGCTGTTATATGAGGAGCTACCGTCTTCATCATCATCCTCATCCGAGTAGTAGTATTCTCCGTTCATGTAGCCTTGTGCTATCCTTGGATCCTCATTTGCCCTCATCCCATTCCTCCAGTTTATGTAGTATACCTCCCCTGTCTGCCATGTTCATCACAGCAACCAACTAACTAATCAACTTCTGATATCCAAAGAGAAGCCACAATGTAGACAAAAGTAGTAGTGGTTTATACCATAACATGGTAGCTATCACATTTAACAAGTAGCATAGGGTTGTTTCATTAAACCAAAAACAAGTAACATGGGACTCATTTGTACATAGCAAAGGAGAAGAGCTTCTCTTCTATTTATGCTAGAACTAATGCCGGGATTTTTGAACAAGATCATGTGAACCATCCATGCCAATCAAAACCCACAATAACCATGATATACATCTCAAACCAGACTTCCCCTTTGCCTCGGCTCTCAGCAGTGTCATGCATAAGAAGCAGCTGAACACAAAAGGCAAAATCACTTTATCCAACTTTTCTCCCTCCTCTTTTTTCATCTTCCATCCCTGGAGATGAAAGTGGTTAAAAGGAACAAAATTTACCAAACCCACTTGGGGGCAAAAGTTGTAGTGAAAATAAATCAATCAAAAAAGAGAGGCATTTCAATGTGGGGGCAAAATACCAAATGTTCTTTTTGTTCCCCAAATTCTCTTCTCTTCTCTTCCTATAAAGAACTACTCAGGCCAATCAATTTGATCAGTAAATGTAGCAGCTGAAGGGCATTCAATTCAATCAATAAATGCAAAACAAAGTAATGAAGGAACACACAGTAGCATTGATTGAAGACGAAGACTGAGTATTTAATAAAACTGAACCAGGCCCTTTTGTTTCCCCAAACACTCCCCTCATATGCTTTCATCTCCCCAAAAGAAGCGAGATCTGCATTTATTGACTGCCCGAAAGAACTGCAAGAAAAATCGGTACGGGCAATGAAACGGAAGGGGGAGAAGAAGGAAGGAGGCACCTTCAAATCGAGGCATTGCTCCCAGTGGTAAGGGAGGGAGACATGGGAGTTGAGCTCCACGGCGGCGTCGTAGTTGTTGTTGTTCGATGACGACGGAGAATGAAGAGCTGAGAGATGAGGATTCTGGCGCTGCTGCTGATGACGACGATGATCGGGCGCGTCGGTCTCATCGGAGCTGGAGGATCTCTCGGTGGCGGCGGCGGTGTTGTGGTGGTGGTGATTGAGGGAATAGTTGTGGAAGGAGCACTCGAGGGACGCAGTGATGGCAGCCATGTTCGGAGCTGTCATTACATCTCTCCTTTCCTATCTTCTCTTTCCTTCCTTATTTCTTCGCTTTGCTATTGTTTGTTTGTTATTGAACTGGGGAAAACCAGAAGGTTATTATTATTGTTTCGTCAACAATTGACAAATAGAGATGGCGATTGGCGGGCATAGAGTTTGACATTTGTAAGGAATCGAGAACAAACCCAGCTGGGAGAGAAGAGCGATGATAATAAGGAGGAGGAGAAGCCCAGCCCACCATCTGAAATCCGATTTTAAAAAAGAGTGAAGACCAGAGAGAGAGAGACGTGCGGGAAAGGAAGCATTAGATTAGTCATTAGTGGGGTGGGAATTTGCAAATAGCCGACGCGCGTTTTCGGAACCCACGTATTTAAGGGCGCGTTTGGATTTTCGATTATTTACAAAGATTTGTTAGGGTGGTTTCTGGTTTGCTTCATAGATTTGAGGTATGTATTTGAGTTCAAATCCATAATTATCAAAGATTTAGTATAAATTCATTTTTGTTCCATATTTTGGTAAAAGGACCAAATTAATTAGATCCATGAATTTTTAGAGTCCAAATCCGTAGATTTCATGGACTTGCAAATCTCAAATACAGGTGTGAGATTTGGATCATGATCACAAATTCATGGACTTTTATGACAACAATTACCTATATATCATCTTACCTCGATAATAGAAATAAATAAGGATAATATGATAATTTACTTGTTAAAACTACAAAACCATTACAACAAATCCATTAACAAAATAATAAAACTTTTTCAATCCATAATCAACCAAATCTATCACAAATCAAGGGTTTTCAAAACACAATTTTTGACCCAAAACCCACATGCCTCCAAATCATAAAGCAAACAACACCCTTAATTATCTGAATCGTTTGGTTGATGCAAATTAGGGGTGTGTAACTGTTTGGTCCGTACTGAATCGCACCCGAATAAACTGATGTTTAGACCGTAATATACCGAACCGAATACATATGATCCGCTTTTTAGTCTCATGAATTTTATAAATATTAAAAAAATGGACTAAATTGATTTTTTGGACGACCAAATTAGACCAAACACAATGATGATCTGGTCTTTGAACCTAAAATATAGTGATATGGTCTTTCACTAGTGTACCATAATTCTTGTTAGTTTGGTACAAACCAAACTAAATAGTTGCACAACCCTAATATCAATACGAGTTCATTTGGAAATTGGAATAGTCCGTTTGGATCTAGATAAAGTGTATACTATTTGGTTATAAATTTGTGTATAATTAGATATTTCTCATTGAATTGAATTGGTTCGAACTAGTTGATTAAAAAGATTATATTTCTTACCTTTTAATAGATTTATATCTTTTACGCTATGTTCTTTTAATAGTAATACAACTAGTATAATCTTAAGTTTTGCCATCATAGTATATAGTAATAATATGCCTCAATTTTTTGTTTCAAAATATATCTAAATGGATGTTATTTTGAAGATCACCATTAGTCTAAATTTTTTGTGCAAAAACATTTGAATCCTGAATTTAAATGAAAGATATATTGTGTTAAATTTATTGGAGGAAAAAGGATTGACAATATCCGGTCGCCATTTGGGGCACGAATCAGCCAGACAGTCATGTAACTTATGTATAATAATTTTCTTATTAGAATTTGAGAGCTTTTATTTTATTTAGCCACCAAATGAGTTACCATATTGCTAGACATGCAAAGAACCAAAAATGAGCTAACTTATGTATCAGTCAGACAGTCAAATACAATCTTTCACATAGCCATCAAACAGCTAACTACAAAAATCAAACCCTGACCAAACCTGCAGGAAATAAAGAGGGATTTTTTAGCCACTAAATGAGTTACCCTATTGCTAGAACTACAAAAAGAAAACAACAATCATATCTCGGGAACTTTGCTCGTAACAACTCTAATTCTGAGAAGATAGTTTAACCATCCCGGATTGACTCTATCAATAACCATTTGGGAATCACCTTAATTTTTCACTTCTTGCAATTCTTATTGAGCACACTAGCAGAAAACATCTCTTAAAAACAAAAACAAAAAAGCATCTCTTAACGTGGCCAACTCAACAAGGTACTTATCCTACTACCCCTTGTAGATGCCATCACAAGTCATGACTAGTATCTCTCACACATCCTACAAAACCATTCCCCACGGTCAAATGTGAACATGCATCTCACTTCTTGAGAGAGTTCCCCATCCCACCATGAATATCCCCTTTAAACCTCCAAAAAGCGGAGAGGAGGAAGCATCTTCCAGTTATCAACTTGTGTAAATTACCGACGAGCCAACTTTTGATACCCACACATGTTTCGTCTCATGAACCACGTAATTCTGTGACTTCCAAATCCTCCACAATAAGCCACTGCTCTCATCACACGATCTGATGATGCAAACCTCTCGATTATATCCCGTCCCCCCTACAACCAAAGGATCAATGCCCTTTCACAAAGCAACAACACAAGCAAAATCATGGAACAAATGCTCAATCATCTTTGAGTCACCCCAATAGACTGGCAACCAAGCTATAACAATTCACCTCGCATAAAGCGCAAAATCATGGAACAAATGCTCGAGCGTCTTCCACTTATTCATTCAATGGATTAAGAAGTGTTTGTCTGGTTTTCCAATCTACGTTATGGGGGTTTGGTTGAAAATTTTGAAGCTAAGAAGGGTTTTAGACAGGGAGACCGCCTCTCCCCTTACCTGTTCACTATAGTAATGGAAATTCTCTTATGTATGCTAAATAGAGCAGTCGAAAATCATGCATTGCCTTTTCATCCCCAGTGTCACAAAATTGGGCTCACCCACTTGAGCTTTCCAGATGATCTTTTAATTTTTACTAAGGGAACAATGGATGGGGTTAGAACTGTGGCAAACGTGTTGAGGAAGTTTTTTAGTATCTCCGGCTTAAAATGTAACCCCAGTAAGAGTGAGTTTTTTGTGTGTTGGGTTGGGACAGGATTAGAAATAAGGGTGGGCATTGGTGCGATCTGCACCGCACTGCACCGTGTTGATAAAAACAGCATCGCACCGCAAAGTAATTGGACCGCACAGCAAATAAAACTGCAAGTTAATTGGTACGGTCCAACCGATCCGCATTAGTTAGCGACTTGGTGCGGTTTGGACCGCAACCGCAAATAAAACCGCAAAAACACAGCATCTATAAGAACAGGCCATCGCCATCACCAGCTAGTAAGCAACAATTCACGCCATTACCAGAAAAAAAAGTACTGACCAATATCAGTTCCTGTAAATTTCAACTGCTTGTTAGATGATCCCCACTAGAAACCCAAACAACCATGGAGCCCATCTGCCACCTCAGCCAAGACAAGACCTTCAGCTCAACTCCACACACGCAAACAAACAACCAAAACACAACCATATTCTTCCTCTCCTTTGTCCTTTCCTCTCCATCTGTGGCCCATTCCAGCTTACAGATATTCCCATCCCATTCAGCCATATCTGCAACTAATGAAGAAAAACTCTGATTCATCATCTCCATCCATCACCTGCAAGTAAACATTTAATGGCTCCAAGTACTGCCTACCTATTTACCTTCTTCACACCATCACCAGCTAGTAAACAAGTACTGCACTCCACAAACAAAAAACAAAAAAGACAAAAAACAAAAAAAAAAGACTGCAGCTTCTTCTTCTTCTCCTCAACTCAAGCCGCAAAAATAACCCCCCTGCACATGCAGAAATTGAAAATTAAACTAATCCAAGTTTAGGACACAGCAACACAGTGAGCATGTTGAATAAGTCACACAGAATCACAAAGCAAAATGCAGTAGCCATGGAAGCAAATCAAATAATATCTACCAAAAACACGTTTGGGAAGAAAACTCAACAGCACACAAGGAATAATAGTGTTTCTTCTTTCTTTTCAAGTAACCAAAACAAACGCAGAAAGTGATTCAGTTCCATCTTGATAATCATTATGCCAAACACCAGGTATAGGGTGGAGATTCGATGGCACCATCATCACCACCACCACCAAATCTCACTCTTTGGCTATCACATAGACATTGCTCCTAGCTCCTTTCTGTTATTCGCAGTAGGCCAGCTGCATGCTGTAATATGCTTGATGTTGTTGCTGTTAACTTGAGCTTGATCATCATGATCACCTTTTTCTCTTCTGTTACCACCCACCCATACTACCAACTAACACAGATTTTAGCTGAGGCAACCAATCTAATATACTAATAATACCAATGCCACAACCGGGGCCAACAAATCAAAACCTCAGCAGCAGCAGTGAATCGAGACACACAAAAAAACAATGAAGAAGATGAGACATGGCCCGTCAGATGGGGATCATCATCAGATCACGATCAATTACCTCACGTGTTTGCGTTTGCCTGTATAATAGGACTCGTACGAGGGGTATTGGTAAAAGGAAGTGGAACATCAGAGATGTTAATAGCCTTCAACACCATGCTCAGCTCTGAAATTCATAAAATGTCACCATCAACTTGAGCATTAAACAAAACTAATAGCTTTTTTATTCTAAGAAAGTTTACCTTCATCAATATTTTCAATCTCCTCTTAATCTTCTTCAACGACACATGGACTAGAGTCTGCTCGGAGCCAATCCTGAGTACAAATAAGGGCCTCCACAATCTTAGGAGTCAAAGAACTCCTAAAATCATTTAGTACTCTCCCTCCAGTGCTAAAAGCTGCTTCAGACGAAACTGTAGAAATAGGGATAGCCAATACATCCCTTGCCATCCGAGACAAAGTTGGAAACCTGTGGCTGTTTACTTTCCACCAGCCTAGTACATCAAATTTGGGATCCATTGATCTTTCAACTTCCTCGTTCAAATACCTATCCAACTCAGTTTTGTTGACTACACCTCTTTCTTTTTGCAATTGCTTCATATACTCCGCAATTAGATCCATGTTTCCACCATCTTCATCTAGTTCTGTTTGAGAGGAGGATGAAGCTTCACCTACTTGATTCTCATAATGAGCATACAACTCAAAAGTAGCCTCCTCAATATCACTTGTCAAATCACTAGCCGATTTCTCATCATCATACATCCACTTGAGAGCGAAACCAATAAAGCGCAACTTTCGCCGTGGATCTAAAACGGCAGCTATGTACAACAACTTGTTCATCTTGTCAACATCTCCCCAATACTTCTCATATTTCTGCTTCATCTTCGTTTCCATGAAGCTTAATTGGTAATCCTCATTGTTTACAACCATCCAACTCTTCAACAAATTGTACAAATTCCCAACTTCAGGAAGAAACAAGTTGGAGGTTATGTATTGTGAACAAGAAACTTTTAAAGTAAAGTGATAA